ACTTGAAACACAACGAGAACGCTTAGAGCGTTTGTGTAATCCCTTTGCTTGCTAGTGGAAGTAGTTGTGGGAGACGGTTCCCACCCGAGAGGTACCTTCGGGGAACTCGGTGATCAAATTATCTGTGTTAAGTTAACAAGAAAGCAATCAATCGATCATATAAATTCCTAACACCACTAACACATATCCCAAAATCCATTTCGTGCTATATCAATTTTGTAGTGGGGGTAAATTAGGCGTCTCACATGTGCATCACCACCGTAGAAAAAAATGTATTTATGTAAATATGGTATATATACCAAAAATTATATTTTTTACTTTAAAAAAAAAATTGAGGTTTTTTTTTTTTAAACGTCTGAGATATATTGATATCGATAAGTAGAAAAGGATTCTAGAAACAGAGACCAATATCTCAGCATCAACTAAAATAAAACATAGATACCTAATGAAAAAGGCCAATGATGTTAAAATCTTCCTTCACAAGCAATCCGCTCATGCAACCAAGAGGGTCCTCCAAGGGCTAAATAAGAGTTGAAATGTCCTTCCCGAAGAACACTTTGAGAAATGGTTCGAGAATTCGCCGCTATCGATTCCATTTCAAAAGAACACGAGTCGAAGTGTAACCTGAGCATATAAATTTGCGGCAACAAAGCTCTGTAACTTGGCCAATTCGTTGGCTTATTTATAGCTTCAAAGGTTGGTTGACGATCAAGACCAATCACAACATCTCTTATGCGTAGATAGCGCAGGCTCTGCAAAGTCTATATGATACCTCGGAGTTCAGCCACAATGCGGTTGGGAGAGCAAGTGAAAGCTTCTGGTGCGTGAAAGTGAACATTTCTGAGGTTTAAAACATAAAAATTTCGTTGAAAATTTGGATTTTTTATAGAAATTTGAAAATTGTAGGTATTTTTCGTTAATGGGCCGAAATACAAAAATAAAATCTAGGCCCGTTAAATGTTTTAAGAAGGATCCACAACGATACTGGCAAGGCCGAATATCATACACCAAATGAGCCAAACCGAGGAGATTCATCCTTTTATGAATTTAGTAATTTAGTTATGCAATTTAGTATTTATTGATTCATCATTTTATGAATTTAGTATTTGGTTATGCATTTTATGCAATTTATTATTTATTGATTCATCATTTTATGAATTCTGTTAATTGTTCCACAAGAAAGTAGCATTAAAATTTAATATCCAGTTACTAAATTTGGCAGTTTGGATGTTTTTTTTTTCTTAAATGAGAATGCAAGAACGTGGATTCCACATGCCATAACAGTTTTTTTTTTTAATAACGTTGAAAGGTAACGACTAAGAAAACAACTCCCCTAGTTAGATGTTGTCCAAAGTCAATAGCTTTAAAAAAAAAAAAAAAGTCAATAGCTTTTCAAAGAGCAAAAAGAGGATTTGAAGCTCTCTTGATCGTTGCATGATTTTGAGTTTTTTTCTAGTTATGATATTTTATATGGAAAATTTGGTTGTATAACCATAAAAAAAATCAAAACTTACAAACTAACCAAAATGGGTATATGGGCTTATCTAAATGTCATTTGACATTTCTCTATGGACATTTTTAATGTCTCCGGATGATCTATAAATAGCATGGGACTACCTCCTTCGTCTTCATCTCTAAACTCGCTCTGATTTTTCTTGGGTAATACTCAACAAAGCAAACGAGCTAAAAAACGAGAGAGAAAGAGAAAGTAATGGCGATCAAGAACATTCTCGTCCTTGTGGTTATTCTTAGCGTTCTTGGAGTTTCAATTGCTCAGAAAGGTCTAGACTTTGACTACTACAAATACAAGTGTCCCGGCGCAGGACCACAGTAGAGATGGATCCAGGCAGTGTCAAGAAGTTTGACTCTCACTACTACACCGCAGTGTCTCAGAAGAAGGGTTTGTTCACTTCTGACTCGGCACTTCTCGATGACCCTGAGACCAAAAGCTACATTGAGACACAGGTTGCTACTGGTGGATCTTCATTCGCCAAAGTTTTCTCTGACTCAATGCTCAAACTTGGTTTGCTCGAAGTACTCACCGGGAACAAGGGTGAGATCAGGAAGAAATGCGCTTTCGTTAACTGAGTTTCGATCTAGAAACCGTTCTCTCCATGGATGATTGATTCTTTCTTTTGTTATTTTTTTTTCCTTTTCTTCCAACTCTGATTTTCCATTATCCTTCGTGTGATGTTTTGAAGTCTCACAAAAGTCAAATAGACTTTTCCTTCAAAGCTTCATTGAATTTTTTCCTATTTATTTGGCACTGAATTCATTACTATTTCGTCTTCATATATAACTTATGCCTCCACCACCTGTTACAATCAGAACATTGAAATTACCATTTCTATCTATTCTCTTAGGCCAAAGTTTTACATTTTCAATCACATACACCATCCATTATACTGATTTCAACTCATCATGATGTGTTTCCCATCATAAGCTTTCTCCAACCACATCATGCACTACATGGATTCTCAAGCACCATTATGAGTTTCTGGCATTTTCAAAACACAAGCAGTACATTACCAACAATTGGTGTCAAACCAATCACTATTCATCACCCATCCATAAGCTTTCTCATATTGGTAACAAGAATCCATCCATTATTTTTAAGCCGAGTGGTAACAACATGGAGAAGCTTCACGCTATCAGCAAGGATCCTCATCAAGAACATAGATAAGAACGTAAGAAACAGTATCAACTCAGTCCGCAATCAGGGAGATCACAACTACTCCGAAGCCATGGCATTGTGGCTTGCTACTCGCATTTGAAGTCTACGGAAAGCTCTGTTTCTTTAAAAAAAACTGTTTTTCTAGGCAAATGTTAGACTCTTTTCAGCACAAAAGCAACATTCATTTGTACAAAAGATTTGTTTTTGAGTATAATTTTACATGGAATTTGCCTCAGTGTAAAAATTCGTA